CACCCCAGGAAGCAGCCCGTGACAGCTGACTAACTCCCAGGTACCTATTTACTGCTAGGTAACAGGGGCACTTAGGGTGAAAGAAACTTTGCCCATTTGTTTCTGCCTCGTGCGGGAATCGAACCCGCGCCACAGAATTACGAGTGTGTGTGTGTGTGTACTCACCTAATTGTACTCACCTAATTGTGCTTGCGGGGGTTGAGCTCTGGCTCTTTGGTCCCGCCTTTCAACCATCAATCAACTGGTGTACAGATTCCTGAGCCTATTGGGCTCTATCATATCTACATTTGAAACTGTGTATGGAGTCAGCCTCCACCACATCACTTCCTAATGCATTCCATTTACTAACTACTCTGACACTGAAAAAGTTCTTTCTAACGTCTGTGTGTGTGTGTGTGTGTGTGTGTGTGTGTGTGTGTGTGTGTGTGTGTGTGTGTGTGTGTGTGTGTGTGTGTGTGAGAGTGAGTGTGTGTGGATGTGTACTCACCTATGTGTGCAAAACTTCAACATCAACACATAGACCTGCCTTCCAAACATACATAATTGGATACAGCAAAACAGCCCCAGTCCCCAGAGGGTTCCACCCCCCATTCCCCCCATTCCCCCCCTCCCCCTCCCCCCCCAGGAACCGCCCCCCCCCCTCCCCCTCACACGAACACCTGTTTATGCCGCCGCTTTAATAAGGAAAGATGAAAGTTAGAACACGCGCAGATATTAATTTGCTGGTTGGTGGGCAGGGACGTGTCCTGTGTTCGGACACGTGCTCCGGGCGGAAGAGAGAGCTATACACCGGTGGCGCTGCTGTAGAGCCCTGCTGTAGAGCCCTGCTGTAGAGCCCTGCTGTAGAGCCCTGCTGTAGAGCCCTGCTGTAGAGCCCTGCTGTAGAGCGCTGCTGTAGAGCGCTGCTGTAGAGCGGGTCGACCTTAGAGTGTCGCTCTAGTGGCACACAAGAGTCAGGTTAAGTTGTTACTCCAAGAATGTCCTCTACATTCTGCCATTTATATTGTTGTATATTAGTAAATAATCAAAGCCTCTTTTTATATTTTGCACGCACACGCGCGTGTGCGTGCGTGCGTTTATGTGTGCGTGATTGCGTACGCGCGTGCGTGCGTGCGTGAGTACTGCACCAAATGTCTCTACGACTCATTTGGATATTCAGTTTCCACCAGTATGCACCAATGCGTGTGCTCCAGAGTTAAATAAAATGTCTTTATTTACCCTAAAGAGGCCGATTTTTTTTACCCCAAGATTCATCTGGGAATATTGTATGTGGTGATCATGTCTCTCTTAACTCTTCTGTCTCCCAGCGACGGGACGTTTAGTTCCCGTAGTCTCTCCTCATAGCTCATACCTCTCTTATCAGGTGATAGTCTTGAGGCATACCTCTGAATCTTATCCAATTTAGTATTGTGCTTGACTCCATGCTAGAGCTGCATACTCGAGGATTGGTCTGACATATGTGATATATAAGGTTCTGAATACTCAAGCTTCCAAAGGCCGTTCCTATGTTAGCCAACCTGGCATATTCCGCTGATGTTATACTCTTGATATGAGCTTCAAGGGACAGGTCTGGCGTGATACCAACCCCCAGGTCTTTCTCTCTAATCCTTGAAGAATTTAATCTCCCAATTAGAACCTTGTATCTGACCTCCTGCTCCCTACACCTTTCTTCACAACATCACATTTGCTTGGGTTAAACTCTAATAACCATTTGTTGGACCATACCGTCAGTTTGTCTAGGTCTTCTTGAAGCCTCAAGCTGTTCTCCTCTGTCTTAATCCTTCTCATAATTTTGGCGTCGTCCGCAAACATTGAGAGGAATGAGTCTATATTTGCCGGGAGTTTATTTACGTATATCAGAAACAGTATAAATTCCAGTACAGAGCCCTGTGGGACTCCACTGGCGACTTCACGTCAATCTGAGGTCTCACCCCTCACTGTAACTCTCTGCTTCCTATTGCTTAGGTACTCCCTTATCCACTAGAGCGCCCTACCAGTTACTCCTGCCTGTCTCTCCAGCTTATGTACCAGCCTCTCATGCGGTTCTGTGTCAAAGGCTTTCCGACAGTCCAAGAAAATACAATCTACCCAACCTTTTCTTTCTTGCTTAATCTTTGTCACCTGATCGTAGAATTCTATTAAGCCTGTAAGGCAAGATTTACCCTCCCTGAACCCATGTTGATGGGTTGTCACGAAGTCTCTTCTCTCCAGATGTGTTACTAGGTTTTCCTCACGATCTTCTCCCTTATGCATTTTCCTTTGATATTTTTTCTTCAGTTCTCGGTCTTCGTCGTGAAAATTTATAAGGGAAAGTCAGAGGAGATTTTACACTTTAATTTTATTTAACACTTTTATAATCTAAACTGAAAAATAAATAATGAGGAGATTTATGACAATAAACAGAGTAGATTTTCCACTTAAAATCCTTCTATTTCAGCTATTTAAACCAGAAACAGACATGTCTGACAAAATATACACGACCGTTAATACTGCTGTAGATGAATACATTTAGATTTTATACAAAATTGTGAAGTGAATTTGGGTAATAATAGCAACAATATTGTATATCTCTCCCCTGAGAAATACATTATATAGTATGAATAATTCATGTAAATTCATTTGAGATAATCACAAGAAAACAGAGCTTTTATATATTTTGAAATTAGATTGTAGTGTATATTTTAATACGATTTTTTTCTTAGAAATTAACTACGTAAAAATGGCTCTGATATTTGCACTTTATGATATATGTTAATATTAATAAACAAATTGACTTGAAATATAATGTTTTATTTATAAATTATCTGAAGAATTAAGAAAACAAAATGAAACTAAGTTATATAGGAAATTATATAGGAAATGAAAGAGCATTTACTGACCTGTGCGCGGCACCATGGGAGCCAGGACCATGGGGGCCAGGACCATGGCAGCCAGGACCATGGCAGCCAGGACCATGGCAGCCAGGACCATGGCAGCCAGGACCATGGCAGCCAGGACCATGGCAGCCAGGACCATGGCAGCCAGGACCTTGTTTATATATCCACACAAATTCATATATATGTCAAACCTTCACTTAAACAATATATTAATTCACTCGGGTTATACACACTGTCCCATTAGGAGACGCTGGTGGCTGAGTGGACAGCACGCTGGATATGTAGTCGTGTGGTCTGGGGGTTCGATTCCCGGCGCCGGCGGAAACAGATGGGCAGAGTTTCATTCACCCTGATGTCCCTGTTACCTAGCAGTAAATATGTACCTGGGAGTTAGACAGCTGTTACGGGCTGCTTCCTGGGTGTGCGTGTGTGGAGCGGGGGGGGGGAGGGAATTAGTAACAGTTGCTTGACAGTTGAGAGGCGGCCCGAAAGAGCAGAGCTCAACCCCCGCAAGCACAACTAGGTGAATACAACTAGGTGAATACACAGTTCCATACACACAGGAAAGGAAACCAACTGACAATTATCAAAATTCTAGTCATGTATATTACTCTAATAAAGATATTTTACAAAATAGAAATTAACTGTATGGAAATATGTAAATAATATATGTCAAAATATTACCATTAAAACACAATAATCATTAAAAAAATATTAATTATTACTAAGTCAAACACAGGAATGCACATTGAGAAACAGAAAAACGAGGCGCTATGCATATTAGTGGCTTTAAGAATTGTATGTACTAACTCTACCTATAAATCCAACATTATGTTTGTAAATCAACTATGTATGTACTTTTCGTATGCAGGCGAAGAGTCACAATAACGTGGCTAAAGTATGTTAACCAGACCACACACTAAAAGGTGAAGGGACGACGACGTTTCGGTCCGTCCTGGACCATTCTCAAGTCGATTGTGAGCCATTCTCGACCATTCTCATTCTCAAGACAATAGACTTGAGAATGGTCCAGGACGGACAGAAACGTCGTCGTCCCTTCACCTTTTAGTGTGTGGTCTGGTCAACATGTACTTTTCCTGAATAATGAAATTAATTATAATTTTTAATTTAAAGAGCTACGGTGTACCGAGTCGTTCACAGTACTCCCACAGAAGTAGTGACCAGAAACAGTGGCAATCAAGGATATTACATTTTAACACAAATTACAAAGCTTTTTCTGGTAAATATATGTTAACTTTCCTACTATTTACTCCCGTCGAGAGGAAATTAAACTACACTGATGCTTTCAGACTTCATTTACAACAATTACATATGAGAGAGTGAGAGATATGAAGGCAGAAAATGTAGCCTTTTCTTGCAACAAATATTATTCTGATTGCACGGGAGATCAACTGTGCACTTCCACACAGCTCTTCAAAAAGTTTATGTTATATGGAATTCTTTCTGATTACTCTCAAAATATTCACTAAGCTTAACAATACAATTAAAAAAGCAGGACAAAATAGCTCAATGTATAAAAGACTTCATAAATGTTGATATGGGTAGTTACAATAAGCTTTCTGTGAAAAAAAATAGCAAAATAGGGCTAAAACTTATTAAAAACTCAATGATTATATTTAAATAAAACTTTTTGGTGATTTTCATTTTTCCGACAATTTGTTTCTGACGTCAATTAACAGTTTTATTTATCGTGATATAAATAACTCCGTTGATTCCTTTTTCAAATTATTTTTTATTCAATTAGTGTGAGTGTTTCAAGTATATATATTTTACCCCAATGATTTCCTCCTGTCTCTCTACCTCCACCAGAACCTCCCCTTTCCTATCCTCTCCTACCCTTCCACACCCACTCCCCCCACCTCCCACCTCCCTACCCAAGCCCCATCCCCCTACACACCCCCTCCCCTCCTCCCACACTAAGGTAACATCTCCACTATTTGGAATATAATTTTCGTTCCAGAAGGGGGGGGGAGCAGGGAAAGGGAGCAAACATATATATTAAATTCCTACACTTCATCAATTTTGTTTAAATCAAATCTAAATTACATGTAAAAGATAGAGCTATTTTTTTATGGCAATATAAAAATTATTAGGGAAACAAGTTTAATTTTCTTCAGAGGTGTTACGAAGGGAAGTGAAGACATGTCTTGTGTTGCTAAGTGTGAGTGTTCCACCTTCAGTGAGCACTCTTCTCATGGTAGCTAGGACCATGGGAGCCAGGACCATGGGGACCAGGACCATGGCAGTCAGGACCATGGCAGCCAGGACCATGGGGGCCAGGACCATGGGGACCAGGATCATGGCAGTCAGGACCATGGCAGCCAGGACCATGGGAGCCTGGACCATGGGGGCCAGGACCATGGCAGCCAGGACCATGGGAGCCTGGACCATGACAGCCAGGACCATGGGGGCCAGGACCATGGGAGCCAGGACCATGGGGGCCAGGACCATGGAGGCCAGGACCATGGCAGCCAAGACCATGGGAGCCTGGACCATGGGGGCCAGGACCATGGCAGCCTGGACCATGGCAGCCAGGATCATGGCAGTCAGGACCATGGCAGCCAGGATGATGGCAGTCAGGACCATGGCAGCCAGGACCATGGCAGCCTGGACCATGGCAGCCAGGATCATGGCAGTCAGGACCATGGCAGCCAGGATGATGGCAGTCAGGACCATGGCAGCCAGGACCATGGGAGCCTGGACCATGGGGGCCAGGACCATGGGAGCCAGGACCATGGGGGCCAGGACCATGGGGGCCAGGATCATGGCAGTCAGGACCATGGCAGCCAGGACCATGGCAGCCAGGACCATGGCAGCCAGGACCATGACAGCCTGGACCATGGGAGCCTGGACCATGGGAGCCTGGACCATAACATCCAGGACCATGGCAGCCAGGACCATGGCAGCCAGGACCATGGCAGCCAGGACCATGGCAGCCAGGACCATGGCAGCCAGGACCATGACAGCCTGGACCATGGGAGCCTGGACCATGGGAGCCTGGACCATGGCAGCCAGGACCATGACAGCCAGGACCATGACAGCCAGGACCATGACAGCCAGGACCATGGGAGCCTGGACCATGGCAGCCAGGACCATGGGAGCCTAGACCATGACAGCCAGGACCATGGGAGCCAGGACCATAACAGCCAGGACCATGGGAGCCAGGACCATAACAACCAGGACCATGGCAGCCAGGACCATGACAACCAGGACCATGGCAGCCAGGACCATGACAGCCAGGACCATGGGAGCCTGGACCATGGCAGCCAGGACCATGGGAGCCTAGACCATGACAGCCAGGACCATGGGAGCCAGGACCATAACAACCAGGACCATGACAACCAGGACCATGGCAGCCAGGACCATGACAGCCAGGACCATGGGGGCCAGGACCATGGGGGCCAGGATCATGGCAGCCAGGACCATGGCAGCCAAGACCATAACAGCCAGGACCATGACAGCCAGGACCATGACAGCCAGGACCATGACACCCAGGACCATGACACCCAGGACCATGACAGCCAGGACCATGACACCCAGGACCATGACAGCCAGGACCATGGCAGCCAAGACCATAACAGCCAGGATCATGGCAGCCAGGACCATGGCAGCCAAGACCATAACAGCCAGGACCATAACAGCCAGGACCATGACAGCCAGGACCATGACAGCCAGGACCATGACACCCAGGACCATGACAGCCAGGACCATGACAGCCAGGACCATGACAGCCAGGACCATGACAGCCAGGACCATGACAGCCAGGACCATGACAGCCTGGACCATGACAGCCAGGACCATGGCAGCCAGGACCATGACAGCCTGGACCATGACAGCCAGGACCATGGCAGCCAGGACCATGACAACCAGGACCATGGGGGCCAGGACCATGGGGGCCAGGATCATGGGGGCCAGGATCATGGCAGCCAGGACCATGGCAGCCAAGACCATAACAGCCAGGACCATGACAGCCAGGACCATGACAGCCAGGACCATGACACCCAGGACCATGACAGCCAGGACCATAACAGCCAGGACCATGACACCCAGGACCATGACAGCCAGGACCATAACAGCCAGGACCATAACAGCCAGGACCATAACAGCCAGGACCATAACAGCCAGGACCATAACACCCAGGACCATGACAGCCAGGACCATGACACCCAGGACCATGACAGCCAGGACCATGACAGCCAGGACCATGACAGCCAGGACCATGACAGCCAGGACCATGACAGCCAGGACCATGACAGCCAGGACCATGACAGCCAGGACCATGACAGCCAGGACCATAACAGCCAGGACCATGACAGCCAGGACCATGACAGCCAGGACCATGACAGCCAGGACCATGACAGCCAGGACCATGACAGCCAGGACCATGGCAGTCAGGACCATGACAGCCAGGACCATGGCAGTCAGGACCATGACAGCCAGGACAACAAGGTGAATGAGATGGAAGGAAAATAGAGACAACCTCTTGATATGACATAAAGCGAAACGGGTCGGGAATCATGGCCTTAGTTGACCGTCAGTTGAAGGAGCGGGGGCCCAGGAACTAGAGTTCTGCAAACTCTATTCAATTCAATTCTATCCACAGGAGGCTCTATAGAGCATTGAATCACGCACACTTGCTCCTGTCAACAGGGAGTTGAAGGATGTCAACTAGTCAGTTCGTCTATCTACTAATCTGTTTATGTCTATCTTGTCTCCTACTTTTTCTGTGTACCAATTGTTCTCTCCTGTCCCCCTTCCCCCTCCCATATTCCCTCACCCCTCCTGATCATCTCACCCCCCTCCCCCCCTTCTGGGCTTTTATGTCACTCCCTGGTCCATGCGTGTGAGTGGCAGGGCAGCGTCACTCATCCTGTGAGTGGACACACCGCCATAGTGACAGTATTGGGCAGCGCCACTCATCCTGTGAGTGGACACACCGCCATAGTGACAGTATTGGGCAGCGCCACTCATCCTGTGAGTGGACACACCGCCATAGTGACAGTATTGGGCAGCGCCACTCATCCTGTGAGTGGACACACCGCCATAGTGACAGTATTGGGCAGCGTCACTCATCCTGTGAGTGGACACACCGCCATAGTGACAGTATTGGGCAGCGTCACTCATCCTGTGAGTGAACACACCGCCATAGTGACAGTATTGGGCAGCGTCACTCATCCTGTGAGTGGACACACCGCCATAGTGACAGTACTGAGCACCGCCACTCATCCTGTGAGTGGACACACCGCCATAGTGACAGTATTGGGCAGCGTCACTCATCCTGTGAGTGGACACACCGCCATAGTGACAGTATTGGGCAGCGTCACTCATCCTGTGAGTGGACACACCGCCATAGTGACAGTATTGGGCAGCGTCACTCATCCTGTGAGTGGACACACCGCCATAGTGACAGTATTGGGCAGCGCCACTCATCCTGTGAGTGGACACACCACCATAGTGACAGTATTGGGCAGCGCCACTCATCCTGTGAGTGGACACACCGCCATAGTGACAGTATTGGGCAGCGTCACTCATCCTGTGAGTGGACACACCACCATAGTGACAGTATTGGGCAGCGCCACTCATCCTGTGAGTGGACACACCACCATAGTGACAGTATTGGGCAGCGCCACTCATCCTGTGAGTGGACACACCGCCATAGTGACAGTATTGGGCAGCGCCACTCATCCTGTGAGTGAACACACCACCATAGTGACAGTATTGGGCAGCGTCACTCATCCTGTGAGTGAACACACCGCCATAGTGACAGTATTAGGCAGCGCCACTCATCCTGTGAGTGGACACACTGCCATAGTGACAGTATTGGGCAGCGCCACTCATCCTGTGAGTGGACACACCGCCATAGTGACAGTACTGGGCAGCGCCACTCATCCTGTGAGTGGACACACCGCCATAACAGCATGTACAACACTCCCCAATAGGAAGAAAACCCGCTGGGTTGTTCATCCTGTCACTTGTACCCAGACACAGCTGGGACTTGCTTAACTGTCTCAAATGAACAGCTCCTCAAACAAGAAGATTAACATCTGTCAACCCTTAATAGCTTACGTTATCTTGCGGGTGCAAAATGGGGGAATTTTTAAGATCAGTATCTATATTTAACAAACAGTGTTTTTCTATCTCAAACAATGTGGGGTTTATTATTCTACACATATTTCTAATGACTCTTAGATGTTCACATTCACGTAGATAGTGGTCAAGGCGGTGTCCGTCACTCTCACCACAGATTCTGTAACTCCGCTGCTCAACTGTTGTGTCCATCCGAATCTCCATGAGTAATTGTATCCAAGACGGATTCTCACTATTACTGATTCTCTCCCGCGGCCACCTCCTCTTCGGCCATAATGATTGGGATTGCCAGCTGCAACCATGTTGTACCATCGTACAGAGTCACTGGTTTGTGCTTCTATCCTCCTTTCCTTAGTTACCTTGTCACGGTGATGTTGCCTGATGATATCTCTAATTTGTAGAAGATTATGAAGTACTCAATGTGGTCTCCTTCAGCGCCTTCAGCAGCCAGCACATCTGCTCCTTTATTTCCACAGATTCCAACATGGGAGCGGATCAACAGAAACTGAGGACACTCTATGATTGATTAGTACTCTCACAGCTCCTAATTTCAGCGACTATCGCAAAATTTTCTGCCCGATTTTTACTAATGTTTTGTAGCGCTGCTTGTGAATCACAGCAGATCACTGCACCATTAATGTTTTGCTCAAGGAATCTTAACTCCATAACAATGACAGTTAGCTCTGCTTGTGTTGAAGTGGCAGTGTTCTCAATACGGCCTTTTCTTTATTTCCGCTTTGAAAGGCATTATTTCTAATTACAGTGTATGCTGCACCAGCCCTGACATTGACAGGATTAGATGATCCATCAATGTAGATTTTATCTAATTCACTTCCGGCTTCTTCATAAATTTCCTCGAGATACTTGTGCCTCATTTCTTGAGGTATCATGTTGGACTTTTTCATTGTCATTTCATTGATGATAATCCTGCATGAGTCATCCTCCCAGGGAGGTAACCTCTCTACAGGCAGGAGCTCACGGGCTTGCTCAAGCAGGTGAAGCTCTTCGAGGTAGCAGACTGATCTGTGATGACATTTTTGCTTCTCTTGTTTCCTCCTGTAAGTAGCACAGAACTCAGTTTTTTCTTGGCAATATAATTGTAATGGGGATCTCTGGCTGTCTTAAATGCAAGCTTAGCATTCAGTTCCTTAATTCTGCTTTTAACACTGGGGAGGGACAACTCCTCTCGTAGATTAGATGCGTTGGCAGTTCTTGGGACTTCAAGAATGATTGTCATGGCTTCATTTTGTATGCTTTCGAGCCTTTTCCTGTCGTTTTGGGAATACGTGCACAGAACTGGTGCGGCATAGTCTATGACGGAGCGCACATAGGCTGTGTACATCATTTTAAGCACGGCAATAGAGGCTCCATGTCCATTCCAGGTCATAACTTTCAGTGCCCTGAGTCGACTTTTACATGTTCCTATGAGTTGGTTGAGCTCCTCTTTCTTCCCCTTGTCAGAGCCGACAGTGACGCCAAGGTACCGATAGTGGTCAACCCATTCAAGTGTTTCACCATTAAGTTGTAGTTCATCATTTTCTCCCCTCTCGTGATGAGAGTTTGCTTTTGTCTTGTTTGTGGAGAGTGAAACCCAGTTCAACACATTTCCTTCCAAGGAGTTCCATGGACTGTTTCCCAGGGTGGGAGCTTGTATTAGCACATCATCTGCATGGTGGGAGCTTGTATTAGCACATCATCTGCATGGTGGGAGCTTGTATTAGCACATCATCTGCATGGTGGGAGCTTGTATTAGCACATCATCTGCATGGTGGGAGCTTGTATTAGCACATCATCTGCATGGTGGGAGCTTGTATTAGCACATCATCTGCATGGTGGGAGCTTGTATTAGCACATCATCTGCATATCCCACTTGTTGTGCTCCTTCCGGAAATTCCATATTTACATTGGTGTTCATAAGAATTTTAAATTGTGTGGGGCTTAACACCCCCTCCTTGGGGGGGTTCCGAGTTCCATACTCATTGTTCTGGAGACTGCTTCGTTGAAGCAGACCTTGGCTATCCTCCCTGTGAGGTAGTCTTCAGTCCTTGAGTCTTGCTTTAACAGCTCCGCATACCAGCTTCAGGTGTGACCTCCACACCAACGGTCCAGTGTCCATGAGTAGTTAACTAGTTAACTACTCTTGGACCGCAAGAGTAGTTAACTCTTGCGGTCCAAGTATCTCCAGTTGTGTTATTCACAAATATTTATTTTACTTTTCAATTTATCATTATATCTATATTTATTTTTCGTGCATAATATCTTTTGGTTGGTGACGGTTATCTTGCGATTACCTTGCGATGATTTCAGGGCTCAACGTCCCCACGGCCCGGTCCTCGACTAGGTCTCCTGGTTGCTGGACTAGTCAGCCAGGCTGTTGGACGCGGCTGCTCGCAGCCTAACGTAAATCACAGCCTGGTTGATCAGGTATCTTAGGTGTTTATCAAGTTTTCTCTTGAACACTGTGAGGGGTCGGCCAGTTATGTCCCTTATGTGTAGTGGAAGCGTGTTGAACAGTCTCGGGCCTTTGATGTTGATAGAGTTCTCTCTCAGAGTACCTGTTGCACCTCTGCTCTTCAACGGGGGTATTCTGCACATCCTGCCATGCCTCCTGGTCTCATGTAGTGGTATTTCTGTGTGCAGGTTTGGGACCAGCCGCTCTAATGTTTTTCACGTGTTAATTATTATGAATCTCTCCCACCTGCACTCCAGAGAATACAGATTTAGGCATTTTAATTCATGCAAATATGAAGCACAATTTTCTGTAGTAAACCGTAGCAATGAAGATTTCTTTTGATGTATTTTAATATTTTGTTTAATATTGGAAAATAATTGCATCAAAAAGTTATTGGGTGTAATTTTCGGGCTTGTGTAAATCAATTTCGATTTGTGTAAAGTTTTCAGAATTATCGAGCGTCGCCTCTTTGGGCGAGTTGTATAATTTTCCATACACGAGAGTGGAAAATTGTTTTATCCTGTAGGGAGACAGAACCGTTTGGGCAGTTTACTGGAACTGCAGCGAAGCTGTGTTCTGGTAACGATGGGCTTAGGTACCTTGTTTTCTTTGCAACATATACACAGACCACCACATTAAGTGGGCTTCTCAGTGTATATACACTGAGGGGTGTATCCAGCTTCTCAGTGTATATACATTGAGGGGTGTATCCAGCTTCACAGTGTATATACACTGAGGGGGTGTATCCAGCTTCACAGTGTATATACACTGAGGGGGTGTATCCAGCTTCACAGTGTATATACACTGAGAGGTGTATCCAGCTTCACAGTGTATATACACTGAGAGGTGTATCCAGCTTCACAGTGTATATACACTG